CTCCTGTCGCGCCAGGAATCATACGCGAACGTGGGGGAACTCTTCCCAATCAGGACCCCCTCCCCCCCCCCGCCACCTCTTTCAGTCCGCGTCCACATCCACGGCCGAGGAGGAGGAGCCCGCACCCTTGGACTTGTTCTGCGCCATCAGCGCCATGCGGTAGGCCTGCGCCGCGTCGACCGGGTCCATGCCCTGGAGTAGGAGAAGTGCGTGCCCATCTTGTGCATGTTCTGCATGAGCGCGACGCCCTCTGGGAAGGGGTTGATCGGCTTCTTGGCCTTGGAGCGCACGAGCGCGCCGATCGCCGACGCGCCGGGCTTGTCCCCGTCGTGCATGAGGCACGGCTCCTCATCGTGACCGAAGAAGGAGGCCACGCCCACTGCCTTGCGGTCCGCGATCGAGGAGCCGAAAAAGGAGGCGAACGACAGGCCGAAGCGCGACTCGAAGGTGGAGACGGCGAGCTCGGCGACCTTCTCGTTGCGGCCGTCCGGTGAGCGCACCAGCCCGAAGCAGATGACAACGTTGCCGTTCCAGAGCGGGTCGACGAACTGCATGCCGTAAGCCTGGTAGGACACGTGGTTGGCGAGCGTGCCGCTGTCGTGGATGCACTGGCCGAACGGGTTGCCCATCGCCTTAGCGCCGGCCTCGCCGCCGACCAGCTTCACGAGCTTGATGAAGACCTCGAACTCGGCGCGCACGCCCTTGGACAGCTGCGTGCGCTGGAGGAGCGGCGCGTCGAGCACCTGCAGGCGGGAGGCAGATGGGGTGAGGGAGGCGCGCGGTGGGGCGAGAGGGGGGCGGCGGGGCGGGGCGTCGCGCACCACCGGGCTTTGGGAACGCGTGTGGCGGTCTCGCGCGCGCGTCTGTGGTGGGAGGTGTGAACGGGCCTATCTCACCGTCACTCCGCCAGCCGTGGCCGCCTGCTGGCGCATCATGTCCTTCCAGTACGGGTCGTCAAAGGAGGCCTTGCTCACGTGCTGCCGGCCGTAGACGTACCACAGCAGCTGCGAGGAGAGCGACTTCTCGGTCGGCGTGAGCACGAAGTGCGACAGCGGCCCGGACGCGTCGGTCTTGGTCATCGCGGAGAGCGGCTCGAAGGCGGCCTGCTGGGCCATCTGCCGCGTGGCCTCCTGCTCCTTGGCGCGTCGGCTGCAGCGCGCGCAGGGGAGGGAGAGGGCGTCAGGCAGCTCTGGCAGGGGAGCAGGGGAGAGGTGCGCGTGGCTGGGCCTGGGGAAGGGCCTGCCAGGGAAAGGGGCTAGTGTTCTCGCTGGCTCAGAGTGCAGACAGACGCGCGCGCGGGAGCCGGCTCACTCTTGGATCGCGAGCGGGTGCGACGCGTGCTCGAGGTCGTTCCTGACGTGTGCGAGCGCCTTGGTGGAGAGCCAGGTGCCGCCGAGCTTGTTCTTGGTCAGCTTCAGCGGCGTGTTGCACGGCTTGCCGTCCGAGTCGCGCCGCAGCACGCAGACGTGCGTGAAGCCCTTGGCGATGAGCGGCGCGCTGCGCCGCCCGCCCGGCAGCAGGCGCAGGAACTGCTTCTCCGTCCAGATCGCGGCTGTCGGCGCGCGCTTGCCTGGCGTGTTGGGTCCGACGTTGGACGGCGTGAAGGGGTCGTGCCGCTCCGCGGCGGCCACTGGCGAGCCAGGCGCGTCTGCCATTCGCGATTCTCGCGATTCCGATTCCAAATCTCAATGCCAAAATTAAGGCTCTGCATTCACGGCAATAGGGACACCCTTCCCATTCTGATGCAGCGTCTTCGTGCTGCCGGGCTCGCGCGGCCGGCAGCGGATGATCTGCCTGGGTATCATGACCTCCTCTCGGGCCTTGCTGGGCAGCCCCCCGGCCCGAGGGAATAGAACTACGGTTTCGTCCAGACCTGGGGGTCATTCTTTTGAGCAATAAGAAAAAGACCGAATGCGCGAACAGGGACGAGCGACCGATCGAAGAGGGACGCGCGAACAGGGCCCTGTTTATTGAGTTTATGAACGAGGTTTATCAGTTCAAATAAACGCGCGTTTAATTGAACTTCACGCGGGAGCGGGCGATCCTGTTAAATAGTCTTAAATAGTCGTGAACCAGGTGTGTTTATAAACTCTTAGTTAGTCCGCGTTTATAACATTCACACACTGAAGGTTTTGTAACGCGAGCTGTGCCACAGTGAAATGGCACTAGCCAGAGCGGCGTGTGACTTCTCGAGAAGTCACTCTCGTCTCTCGGTCCTAGGGAGAGACACTGGCCCACCGGGGCCGGCAGAAAAGTGAGAAATGGAGCGTTAGAGCAAGCAGGCGACAGCTCTAGCAGTTAGTTTTATTTTACTGGATGTAAAGCGGGAGAGAAGCACAGCGGACAAGCAGAGAACCGGCCGCGCCGGGAACGGGGGGTGGAGGGGAGCGCTATAAGGTTAATGGGTAATAGAAGAGCATGAGCCGAGGCAGACCACCTCAGCGACGGTCAATCGGGGCCACACGAACTTGCGTCCGTGGGCGCGTCATATGAGCACACCGCTCGACCCCTCGTCAGCTCCCTCCTGCTCCTCTGCCTGCTGCGCCGCGCCCTGCTTACTCGAGAGCCGGTGCTTCGCGGCAAACGCGTCGGCCTCCAGCTGCTGCTTTTTGCAGCTCTCTGTCAGCTTCTTGACAGCAGCCTTCATCTGCAAGCGAAGGGGCGGAGTCTCTCGGGAGGGCGGCTGGCGACCGGGCGGGCGCGCGCAAGCGCCTGCTCAAGGTTAGCCGTGAGCGCCGGCTTGACGTCGGAGACGGTCCGCTCCACGATCACCGTGCCAACCATCCGGAAGCACTTGCGCCCGCCCTGCAGCGGATCGAGCGCCTCGAGCACGAGCCGGTGCTCCGCCGCGTCCATCTCGAGGATGTTGATCTGGCGCATCTGCTCCTGGACGGCGGCGCGCATCTGCTGCAGCCGCATCTCGGCCTCCTCCTTGGAGAGCTGCTGCTCCTGCTCCTCCTCGGCCATCCCCGGGCCCTCTTCGCTGCGTGCTGTGCCACGGCCGCGCAAACCGGTGTCTGTAGAGGCTCGCGTCGCGCTGGGAACGCTCGCGATAAGAAAGCGGACCGGCTGCGTGACGGAGCGCTTCCCTGCGCTAGCCGCCTGTCATGGGTGCGGCGGCAAATTTCGCACGCTGTTCCACGTGAAGCCGGAAGACGGACCGGCGGCTACGAAGGTGGCTGAGGAGGTGGTCAGCGCCATCCTGGAACGGATTTCTGAACGGGTGGAAGGGGAAGCGGAGGAGGGGATGAGGATGCGCCTGTGCCACGCCATGCAGGGGCAGGGGGTGTTTGTGTGCTTTTGTTGTGCAGCCCCTGTGGTCCGTGAGAAGAGGAGACAAGGATACGGGGGGGCGGCGAGGGGGGGGCAGCCGTCGCAACAGGCGAGCGCACCCCGAGCCGGGGCGGCACCGGTGGATCGGCCGGCCCCGACGCGGATCTTGCCAGGAAGGGCACGAGGCAGCCCGATGAGGTTCGTGCCGGCGGCAGACAGAGCAAGAAGACGGGAGGGGGCAATTCGAGAGGCCGAGATGGATCGGGCGGCCGCGGCGGCGGGCGAGAAGGCGGTCCTGGCGGAGCTTAGGGCGATAGGTCTGTCGCTCGCGGCCAGCACCGGCGTTCTCAGGCCGGTGCAGCCGCGGGAAGTGCGGAGCCTGGCAAGACGAATGGTTGGCTCGACGGACCTTCTTGGGCAGGTTTTCCGGTGGGAGGGGGAGGATTACCTCGTCAACGACATCGCACCGGGACCGACACAGTCGGGGGAGCAGGCGATGAAGGCGTACGCCTGCTGTGTGAGGAGGCGGGTGGCATCGGCGGGCCCGCTATCCGAACACAACTCGGCCTTTGATATCCGGTCAGTGAGAGACCGAATCGAGAGGGACCGGGCGGAGGGGGAGGCGACGCAACTACTGCGCAGTCTGCGGCCTGATGCGGAGCGGGGGGGGGCGGGAAAAGGGGCCGTCGGCGAATCTGGGCCCTGCCCCCCCCCGCCCCGTCTCAAGGGGAGAACAGAGCTGTGGTCCCCCCGCCACGACCGGGGCGGGGGGCCTATCGATTGGATCTCTGATTGAACGGACGTCAGGGGCAGGGGTTTCCCCCGGGAGCCCGCCCCCCGATGTGCCGCGCGTCCTCACACAGCAGGGGTACGCCTTAATCGCTTGCTCGCTCGACTGTGTTGGTTCCAGCGCCATGAATCTCTCCGGCCGGCGAGGCACGGACGAGACCGTGTGTGGGGTCTAAGTGAGGTGTCTATGGACGCTCTCCTCACAGGCTAGCTGCCTACTGCTAGCCCTATCTCGCACTCACGGTCAGTGACACTCAAATGGGTGAGTGTTTGCGAGCAGAGGTGCGTGGGCTAAATCTAGGCCGCACGTCGTGGCACTATGACGAAGTAGACGTGCGGCCGCAGCGCGCCCGCCGCAGGCTCGGCGGTGCGCGCGTGTTAGCGACAAAGTTGCGGGTGGAGCCATGCCCGACTTTTCGAAGGTGAGGCCTCTGCGACGAGTGCCAGCCGCGCTGCGGAGCCACGCCCTTCGAGCCGCGTCCCGTCGGCACTGTCCCCGAGTGGTCCCGCCTTGGCGGCACACACTCTCGACCAGGACAGTCCGGCCTCCGGGAACGTGTCGCGCGCCGGCGACGATTGCGGCGTGGTCGTTTTGAAGCGAAGATGGCACGACCACCACCCTGCTTCGCAGACCGGGCAAGGAGGGGGCTGCTCCTGTTCCGCGCGGAACAGGAGGTTTCCCCCCCTCCCCCGGCCTGAGCAGCGGCGGATGGAAGGCAGCCCCTTGAGTCGAGGGCGGCGCTACCAGGTAAAATCATCACAGAAAAGAAATCGGGCGGTCGCAGATGTCGTCTGCGGCCTGTACGCTGCTCGCCACTCTGGCCACCACCGCCGCGATGCAGACCGGCCAGCGGCCCTCGCCGCCGCTCCGCGCCGCCTCGCCGCGCGCGAGCATGCTCACCAACGTCGGCGCGGGCATCTTTGCCGTCTCCGGCGCTCTCGCTTGGGTGGCGCCCGGCCAGAGCCTGGCCAATTACGGGCTCGCCACCGACGCGTCCGCTCTGGTCACCATGCGCGCCGTCGGCTGCTGGCGGATCTGCGGGGCGGCGGTGCTGCTCGCAGGCACGCGCGGCCCGTCGCATGCGGCAGGCGTTTCCCTCGTTGCCGCCGCCCTGACCACACTCGTCAGTGTCGCCAATTGGGACGTGCTGAGCCGCCCGCTGGGGAACCAGATCCCGGGCGTCGTCCTGCTCTCGATCCTTGGCAAGCTCACACTCGGCGGCAGAGTCGGACCACGCTGGGCGGCGGGCGTCTACCTGTTGCTCGGAGGCCTCATCTGGGCGGCGCCGACCTCGACGATCCAAGACGTGTACGAGATTCAGAAGCCGGTGAGCGACGTGGGCCGCTCGATGCTCTCGCTCTCGGGCGGCGCCCTCGTGAGCACCGGAGTCTTCCTGGCTGGCCTCGTGCGCGGCCTCGCCCTCCCACAATGCCTCGCCCTTACCTTTGCCACCGACGCGGCGCTGGCCCTCAAGTGGGCGCTGCTTGAGGTGTCTTCTCTCGGTGGGGCCAAGGTTGGCGGCTTCCTCTGGGCTATCTCCAGCCTTGCTGTCGCAGCACTCTCGCTTGCATGAGCCACCGCTCTCCTAGCTACTCATTAGGCGCTCTCTATCTCCCTCTCTCTGAGTTTCTCAGAGTCTCTCTCTCTCTCTCTCTCACACACACATTTTGCATGAAGTGCCGCACAACTACGGTACACGTGCATGCCCCGCTAGTTGGCCTGGGAGCCGCTCTCGCCACCAGTGAGGCAGCACGCCCCCACACATCATTTTCTCGTATCGTACTCGTACTCTGTGCCCCGGTGTCTCGTGCGGGAGACTCTGCGACTGTGTGTGTAAGGTATGCGCCACCTGCTGGGGGCTCGTTGCACGAGTATATGGGCCACGTCTCAAATAGAGGGGTTTTGACTCCTCTAGCTCTACCGCCGGCTCGCCTGTACCCTGTTGGGCCCCTGACGCTACCGACTACCCCTGGCAGCTCTAATGACCAGGATCAGTAGTGTTGTGATAGGCGCAGGAGCTGCCACACTCGCCCGGACCCATAGTCTGAGGGTATCCTAAAAGTTCGGCCGATTTGGGTCAAAACGCTAAAAGCACGCCCGGGCGTAGATTTGGGGCAAAACGACAAAAGTGGGCCCGCCCGGGGCAAAATGGTAAAAGTCGCGCGCCGCAGGCGCGCGCGAAAATTTTGGACATTCTGCTCTCCGGCGGCGCCCGCAGCGCGGTCTCCAAATCCTCGCTCGCTATAGCGGCGTGCAGCCGGCGGCGCAGCCACGCCTTGTTGCCCGAGAGGGCCTCGCCACGCTCGCCCAGCTCCTCCTTGAGCTCCACCACCTTCATCGCCACCAGATCCTTTTACCTTTCGCATCGCCGCCGCCGCAAAGAGCCCCGGGCTCAGCGGCTCAGCGCCTCAGCCTCGTGCTCAGCAGCGCCCTTATCAATGTGTGACAAACTTGTAGCGCTGCATGTGTTTGGACACACACCGGCGGGCGCTTTCGAGGCGAGCGGCATTTTTCTAGGCATAGTGTGCAGGAACTACTTCTGCCGTTTGCGGCGTTTGCGGGACGGATAGCTAGTACTTACTGCACCCGGCGCGCAGCGCCGAAGAAAAACTTGAAAAATGCTAAAAGTTGGGCGCTCCGAGACGACCAAAGTGGTAAAAGTCGCACTCTCCCCTGACCCGATCAAAAGCGTAAAAGCACCCGAGGCTCCAGAAACCTAACCCTCAGACTATGCCCGGACCCTAGCCCGGACCGTCCCCTTCTGGGGCCGGTTCTGCAGCCCGCGAGAGCCGACAGCGGGGCCGTGCCGCGGGTGCCTACTGCCGAGTGCCACAAACACTGCGCCGTCCCGCCATCACCTACAGGCTGTCTTGTGTGATGGCTGGGATGTCCAAACGCCACCATCTTGGCTCTTGCGACCTCAAATCTGCGAGCTGCATGGGTGGTCCTGACGTCGACAGACGCCCGAGGACCACGGTGAAGCTGAGCCGGAACGCGTCGACAAGTCTCGCCTGAGCCCGTGGCGGTCGCCGGCTGAGTCGGTGTGCACGGGCCGGTACCTCAGGCGTCGCCTCCGCAGCCTCAGGTCTCAAACTCCATCACCTCCGACGGGACGCCTTCGGTGGCACGCTCGGCGGCGACTTTGTTGCAGCCCCACAGCGAGCGCGGCGTCGAGCCTGTTCGGTCTGGTCGGTTCGCGGCACTCACTGGGTGCCAGGGAGTGCCGCCGACACGCGAGCGGTGCCTCCTGGCAGCGCGCGCCGGCTGTGGGGCTGCAACAAACACGAGTACCTTCTATTCCAAAAGTTATTTAGTAACACCCCCCTACCGCCGCCCAGTGCGTGCTCCGCAGCTGAGCCCACGCACCCCACAGCAGCTCAGGGACACAATAAGCTCGCATACAAGTGCTGGTACGCACAGCTCGACGCGTACTCGAATGCTGCCACTGTCATTCTAGCTGGCGAGCGGCGGCGTCACAGCGTCGACTCTCGCATCGCGATGAGACGCACTGCTTGCCCCGACGCGCGCCTTGGTGCGCTCCTGTGGTGCAGGAGGAAGGCCAGCGGTCGTGCTGCGCAGGCCCGGCCGTCTGGTTGAAGGGATCAGCAGCTGGCGCTCAACAGCAGCGCTGTCGAGCAGCGCAGCTACACCACACTCCCGCCAAGCCACGTGTCATTTCGCGCCAAGATTTGGCGCCAAAATGGTACTTTAGTGTCCACCTAGCCACGTGGTCGCGGCCTGAAGCTCCAAGCTTCTGGGAGTGAGGTGCACACATCGAGGACTCCATTTGTGTGCAGGCGGCACCCTTCCGATCGTTCGCCGATGCACCGAGCCGGGGTCGTACTAAATAACTTTTGGAATAGAAGGTAACGCTTTTTTCGGACATTTTCGACGCTTTTGGCAACACAAAGCCTGGGACGTGGCAGCTCGAGATGCCCTGCCCCGGTCGCCTGTGCTCAAAGGTCAACAATGAGTCAAAAGATATCAAAGAGCAAGGGCGGCTTTGTCTTCTGCCGTACAAGCCCTCCCGGAGCCTACTGTGCGGTGTACTGACGTGGCCCCCACGCCCCAGCAGTGAGTGGACTAGGTCCAGCCCTGTGAGCCAGATCTGACGTTTTGTGACATTGCGTCAGATCCGTGTTTTTCTCGTTGTTTTGTCGCTCGCTCCGGCTCGCCATCTCACACTCTCGCGTCTCGGGTCCAGCCATGGCCAGTACCCCGCGTCTCAGTGAGACGCGTGGTACCATCCAAATAACTCCGGTCGATGGGCTCCAATGCGCTCAGCCTCACAGGAGGGACAAAACCACGCGAATTCTGCATGCCTCGCTTCGCCGCTGGCTTGACTGAATCAGGCAGCAGCAGGCTGCTGCTGTGGTGCGGCCCCAATACGCAAGCAAGTTAATGACTAGCAGCACTGCCGGGGGCATACGAGCCGCCACAGCCGGTGTGCGGCTGTGCACTGCCACCTGCCCGCGGCTACGCACATGTACATGCGCATGCACATGCACATGCACATGCACATGTGCGCTCGCATTGGACGTGATAGTGTCGTGCAAGCGGTTACTCGATCGTGTTCAACGTCGTTGAACAGTGCACATGCACATGCACATGCACATGCACATGTGCGCTCGCATTGGATGAGCCCTGCTGATGGACCTGCGTCGCCTAGCTGCACGAGAGCAATGCCGCAGGCGGCGGCCGTGGCATACACTGCGAGCACACTCGGTGCACAGCTGCGAGGTGCAGCAAGAGCACGTCGTTCCTGCCTCTGATGCCACCTCTCACGACTAGAGGATGGATGCCGCGCAGCGCCCCAAAATCCACCAGTGTGGGATTTCGCGCACTCGCTGGACTCTGAAAAGCTCGCCGACCCCTGCGGTGAGCGCTGTGGTCGCCGCAGACTGACACCGTGGAGGCCATTCCCATCGGCCAAACCGAGGACATACGGACAGTGCGGCAGCACCGCTACGCGATGCACCCTCCTCTTCCCTTGCACGCGAGTGTTCTCTGATTGTATGTGTGGACAGGGAGTGTCCTGTCCTCACGGCGTCGGCGCATGTGTGTGTTGTGGTTCCCAGTGTGGGGCCTGTTTGAGCGCCGACGCCGGGGTCGTGTGGCGATGTGCCTCGGGAGCTCCAGACGCAGCTCTCGGGGCACGCCAACCCAGGAGATTTAAAGGACCAATCAACAAATACAACCAACGATCAGCTGGAGAACTCGGACGCGATGGATAAGGCTGATTGGCTAGACGAGCGGCCTACCTCCAACGGGGCGGTCTGGATCACGGGGGATGACATCCTGCCTCCCGGCACGCCGGGAGGAGGTGGTTGCTCCGCCGCCGGACCGCCCTCTCCACCACCCTCGCCCAGGGATCTACAATGCTGTCTCAAGGTCCGACAGGTTCGGCACCGGGCACCGCCTCGGTATACAAAATGCGCCTGCGGGCGGACCCTCACAGTGCAGACGTGACTCACAGAAAGGAGGGTGTGTGACGTTCGTATGAAGGAGCAGAGACAGAACTTGGAACGAGGGAGACGGAAAGGAGTTGAGTTGATGTGAGGCCACTAACACCGGCTGGGCAGCCTGGACTCCGCGCATTCAGGCAAAGGAGGCTTTCAGGCCATCAATCAATGTCCTCAGGTTCCACTTCCTCCTTGGCTGCACGCTCCTCTTTCATCAGAGGCGACTCCATCTTTGCACATGGCACGCCATCACTCTCTTGCTTCACTGCCTGTGCAGGGCAGTTGGGCGATGCAAGCAGCAGGAGGAGGCTCTGGTTCTCCTCTGCCAGACGCTGGTTCTCAGACACCAAGCGCTGGTTGTCAGATGTAAGCGCCTGATTCTCCTCGGAGAAGGAGTGGTAGAGGGCATGGTAAGCAGCGTTTGCCTCATCTGCAGTCGTTTGCAGCTTGGAGTTTGCGGCAGCCAGTGCAGCCTCAAGCTGCTTGATTTGCAGGGAGAGATGTGTGGAGTCTGCCAGTGCAGCTGCCCCATCGGGCTCAAGGCCAGGCTCAAGCTTACGCTGCAGGCCAGGTTTTGTTGGCGAGCGTGGTGAGCCAGCTGACTGCTCAGAGGGCTTGTGAAGAGATGCTCCCATACGAAGCTTTGGCTGTACAGCCCCTGTGTGCCCATTGGCGCTGCGCATGGAGGCCAAGAAGTTGGCATCCTCCTCATCTGAAGAAGTAGTCTCATCGTCCCCTTCAGGCAGACGGTGTGCCTTCCCCTCTGGCATTGTGCCCACTTGTGCATGATGCACCTGGCTGTCCTCTGGGCTGACGCATGGCTTGCTAGCCACACAAGGGTCCATGCCCTCGTTTGCAGGCCGGTGGGCAGGCATCAGAGCAGGGGCCTGATCTGCAATGATGGGGCTGTCTGCCTCTCCATCGGTCAAGCATACCTCCACCTCCTCCTCAGAGTCAGAGACATCCTACGAGAGGAATGTGCAGTGCATGGCATGCACTTAAGACTATGTCAGGGACATGCTAGCTACTGGTACTTGTACTTGGCATATGTAATATGGTACGGGTCCCAAGTATGGGTGCATATGTGGGGGCGCACCATTGAGATGTCCTC